GTAAATAATGGTGTGAGACAGAATTCTAAGAGACAAAACAAAACTAAAAGTCCTTGTCAACATTTTGAGCACGTAGAAGGAGCTCTATTTTGATTATGCTTAACCTTGATTTATGTCTGGAACCCTGAGTGGGGTGATGCAGTGAACCTGCCAAGTTCTTTGATCTGTTTTGTACAAAAACTGAAGCTTTGCAGAAGTAAAATTGCAGCAGATTTTCACTACACAGTGTGTCTGTCTGTCATTTCCCTTGCGTCGTATCCTGGCTATCCTATCCTTCACCCTGTTCTCCCGTGGATAGTGGTCTCCGAGAGGGACGGTCCGTGGCAAGTCACTTGCCCAAAGCTGGTCAAGTTATGATGTACTATAGAGGTGGCCCAAAGTGCCACAATCACTGACAAAATATGCTTGGATGAAGCAAGGCTTGGTGTACACAAGGGACTCACCATCCCCACCCCAGGCCCTGAGGGTCCTAGAATTTGTACTGATATTTTGTTTGTGATCTCAAAATTAAAGATTGCCTGAAGTTCAGAGTGCAGAGCTAAGCCACTAGTTAGCTATAGAGGCCGGGCAGTGGAAGCCCACACCTTTCATCTCAGTACTTGGGAGACTGAAGACAAAAGATCAATGTGAGTTCAAGGTCATCCTGGGCTACAGGAGTTTTTCTAAAAGAGAAATAGAGCTCACACAGAGGTGATCCCAGCACAGTCATTTTGGGATCACAAGACATTAATCCCAGCACTAGGGAGGTGGAGGCAGGGTGATGTGACTGGGTGGAGAAAGGAATATAAGGCAGGAGGAGACAGGAGCTCAGGGCAGTCTGAGGCATTTTGAGAAGGCATTCGGTCTGAGAAGTTATAGACACAGGATATCCATAAGGTCTGAGGATTTCATACAGGTAAGAACTAGCGACTAGCCACTCTGTTTCTCTGATCTTTCAGCTTTCACCCCCCCCCCCGCCAATATCTGACACTGGGCTTTTATTATTAAGACCACTTAGAATTGGTGCTACAAGAGCTACTGACCTCTCTAACGATGTTAGGAAACAGTCTTCTTTTGGGTTGTTACAGCACCATCTTCCTAGGTCTTCTCCAATGGGATTGATTCTGCCAGTCGTTGTGGGGGCTGTAGCAGCAATATATGTTTGGAAAAAGATAAGAGGAAACAAACTGAAAAAAGGCGATGCCACTCCTCAAGGTAAGTCACAGAAAATGAGGTGACTTATGGAGGGTGGGTCCACTATTAAGGGTGGGTAGAATAACTGTCCCATTAGAGAGACTGTACTTCTCTTGAGCCTCTATTGTTTCAGCTTTCCAAAGTAGAATGGGAAAACAAAGACACGAAATACCAACTGTCTAGAGCTCCGAAGAGGAGTAGGGGTTGATCAGAGAGGAGCCCAGCTCCTTAAACCATAAAACACGGGAGGTCACACCACCAGTTCCCACCCCTCAATGATTAAATTCTAGGAAAAGATCCTGATGGCAAACGAAGGACTGAAAGTAAAAGACAATGTGAAAAGAAATGCTGAAGGCTTGGATCTCATCAGTTGCTCTGAAAGGCTTCGATTCTATGACAGTTGACAGTGATGGAGTTCACAAGGAAAGCCCCTCGTCTTTGACTTCTGATTGGTGAAAATTGTAACTGTAACTTTACAACAAATGTTTGTGCTTCTAAATATTTGTGCTTTTAAACCCTGCTTCTTCCCCTGCTCAGGGCTGCCAGAAAAAGCAAGGCTCCTGAGTTCTTGTCCTGCAGCCCTGATTGACCACTGGCCCGCTTAAATGGTGATTTATTAAAGTCTTTGGAACCCATAAGTGTTGTCTCTCTCTTCTTCCTCATGGCACACAGCCAACTGGCAATAACATTGTGTTTCGATTTAATTTGTTGGGATATCAAAGGGCATACAGGATCTAGGGGAGTACAATGTACTCTAGAGAGTGACAATGCCTTCCTTAGTAAGAGATAAATATTAACCTTAGAGACCCCTTGAGCTATGGATGTCCCCATTCCTAAACTAAGGTTGAAAACTTCCATTGTTTTGAGTTTTCACAGCAGACACATTGGTGTTCTGGCTAAGTTTTTGTCAACTAGACAGGAGCTAGAGTCATTTGAGAAGAGAGAGCCTCCACTGAGAAAATGCCCTGCACAAGATTGTCCTGTGGAAGAAGCCTGCGCGTCATTTCTTAGATAGTGATTGGTGAAGAAGGGCACAGTCCACTGTGGGCTGGTGATCCACGGATGTATTGTAAGGCAGGCTAAGGATCAAGGCAGTGAGCAGCACTCCTCCATGGTCTCTGCTTCAGTGCCTGACTTGACTTTCCCTTCAGGACTTTCTGTGATCTTCACCTGTCAGATGAAATAAGCCCATTCCTCCCCAAGGTGCTCTTGGTCATGGTAACTGAACACAGCTGCAGAAACACTAAGATGATTGGTCTCCAGTTTACAGCAATGTTCTGAGCCTATCAACACATTCAAGCTTTCTTAATAAATCACCCTCAACTCTAAGGGATCTCTGAAACCTAAAATAAGAAAGTTTTGATCATTGGTTGAAACTAGGCAAGCCAGTTCCATGACTAAGAGAATATTAAACTGTACAATACATAGGCCCTGCCCACCCTGCCCTGCCTTTCTTTCATCCACACCTAATTCAGCCTCTCTGCATTCAGCGTCTGTCATGGGCCAACTGTTCATGCCCAGGAGCACAGCTGAAGAAGATGGGAATTTATTGGGAAAGAACAGAAAGGAGTAGGCAATGGAGGGGGAGGTACTTTGGGAGGACAAGGCAGGGGGATGTGGGTGCTGGCAGTCTATGAGGTTTGGCAGTTTGGGAAGGGCCTCCTGGGAGGAAAATGTGTTTTTGTGTGGCATGGGGACCAAGAAAGAATGGGCCCTGGGAGAGTTTGGGGAAAGCAGTGTGGACAGCAAGCAGAGGAGAATCCAAGCAAGAAGGGACTTCATGAAGAAGTGGCCCATGAGGTTAGAGCTAACATGGAGAATAGAACGTGGGAACACTTTGGCAAAAGCAAACCAAGTACTCAGAGAATAAGGCAGCTGCTCATGCTTAGCAATGTTTTTCCCCCAGAGTTCAAAGATTGTTCTACACACCAAGGAAGAAGTGGGCTCAATCTTCCAGCACCTCTGTCTGCCCCAGCATCTGAAACACCAAGTGCCACAGTCTTCATGAATCACTACTGACTGAAGGGACCATTTAAACAGGGATGTCTGAGAGAAGTTGGAGAGGTGGGACCTCAAGTGAGTGGAGGATTTGCATCCAGGAGAAAGGAGATTGGTGCTGCTCTAAGGAGCCCCATGTGGAAGAGCCCTGCTGGTGCTATAGCTCTAGAGTGGCCAGGAGGTGGGCTTCTTAGCTCTCCACTGAGGCTGGGGTTAAAGGACGACCTCTGGTGCACCAGTTTCTGCTCTGTGACTGTGATCACTGTGCTCAAAAGCAATTTGGGGAGATAGCTATTGGGGCCAGGGGGCTCACACAAACATTGGGACAGGCCACCAATGTCTATAAAACCAGAAGCAAACTTTATTCCAGAAGCCAAAATCCAGGAAACAAAATAAAATAAAAATCTCCATGGGGCATAAAAAGCTTATCAGCTAGCAGAGACTACATACAGGCAGAGATGGTTCTTATTAGGCTGTGGCAGTGGATGGTTTTTGAAACCTCCTCCCCACCCCTGCCACTTTTTATAGTAAGGGCAGCAAGCATTAGGTCTAAACAAAGGAATTTTTACAATCTCAAGGTAAAACTCAGATACAGATTGCCTTACTTTACAATCTCCATTAACAGAGTTTTTCAGTTAAACTCATGTTTGTACTTAATCCGTTGTCTTTCTTAGTAATTTCAGGAAGTGTTTATTGAAGCCCTGTGCTCTCCCCTTTTATGGTGCCAGTTTCACACAGCTGGGATAATGTGTAACCCAGAAGCCATATATATATTTCCTAAAAGTTGACTCAGCTCATATTTATAGGGTAGCTCTCAGTTTGCAGAGAGATGCTTTTGCCTTGTGAATAGAGCTATGGGTTGTAAAGTGGAGTAATCCACTGTTAATAGTTAATCCTAAAGCTACTGAGAAAGTTGCTCATAGTGGCTGACCATTGAGAGCAGTCATTGTAAAGTTCCTTTAAACAAAGGAATAGTAAGAAATTATACCAAAATCTGTTTTGTGAGTTTCTCTCTCTCTCTCTCTCTCTCTCTCTCTCTCTCTCTCTCTCTCTCTCTCTCTCTCTCTCTCTCTTTCTCTCTGTCTCTCTCTCTCTCTCTCTCTCTCTCTCTCTCTCTCTCTCTCTCTCTGTGTCTGTCTGTCTGTCTCTGAGTCTGGTAGCAAGGTGATCTGTGTCTAGACTTTGTATTGGCTCAAAGAGAGTGAGACCTCTGACTGAGTCTTCCAGAGAACTGAGAAGGCAACTGAAGCCTTAGTTGCTGCTTTTAAGCCCGCAAGGCTATTAGTCATCAAAGAGCATCTAAGTTCTGAGAGAAATAAATTTTACTTGAGTTATTGATTTAAAAAATGACAGAACTCATTTGCTGGCTGCCTAGACAGCTACCCTAGGGTCCTCCATGGTTATTGAGGGCAGGTGATAGGGCAACATCCGTCTTCAGGCTGGCAAGTTTCCAGAAGATCTCATAGGCTTCTGTGGAGTAAGGAATCATGAGAGGACCAGCCTACCTTTTGCCTTAGGCAACTTGAGGCAGGCAGTTTCCCAGTGTCCTGTTTTCTCCACCATTTGAAGCGAGTCTTTACAGTAGTTGAGGTGAAAGGCAGTGTTGGAGGGAGGCCGCTTGTTTTGTTTCCAGCTGCTTAGCCCCAATATAATCACATAGAAACCATATTATTTAAATCACTACTTGGCCCATTAGCTCTGACTTCTTATTGGCTAACTTTTACATTTTAATTTAACCCATTTCCATAAAATAATCTGTGTATTGCCACGTGGCAGTGGCTTACCGGATAAAGTTCCCAGCATCTGTCTCTGGCGGCAGCTCCATGGCTTCTCTCTGACCCACACTTCTTTCTCCCAGACTTCTGGTTAGTTTTCCCCACCTAGTTTTGTTCCCCTATAACTCTGCTATAGGCCCCAAACAGTTCCTTTATTAACCAATGATATTCACAACATACAGAGGGGAATCCCACATCACCTCCCCTTTTCTGTTTAAATGAAAAGGAAGGTTTTAACTTTAACATAGTAAAATTAGATATAACAAAACAGGTATCAAGTAAGAATTACAATGATAATATTTATATCCACTTTATCTTTTATCATAACTAAGGAAAACTCTATTACTAGTATATATTCTTCAACTCTATCAAAAACTCCAGAAGGATATATTACATAAGCAGACAGGAAGTACATTGTAAGCAACTTCCAAAGCTTTAGAATTGACAGAAACATTTCGCTGCCTGGACAGTCACCCAAAGTTCTTCTGTATCATTGGAGCATCCATCTTCATCCTATAGGCCTATAGTATCCAGCAGACATTTCTATGAAGCAGGAAATTTCAAAGATAGTTCTGCCTATATTGGCAGTTTGCCAGTCACTTTCTTCTGTGTCCTGCAGAATGTCTGGCAGACTCTTTCATAAAGCAGGAACCCTGAAGGATGGTCTCACCTTTAGGCAAGTTTAACAGTCATTTTTATGTAGGTCCTGCATATCCAGTTTATAAAGAAGTCCAGGCAAGAGCAGTTTTTTACCCTAATGACTAACCAACTCCATTAAAAGCCTCTTCAGTGCCCATCTTCCTCTTGAAGTTATTGGTGCTGCCTGGAGCAGATGTGTCTCATTGTTATGAAAAGTCCTAAATTCTTAAAACATTTTAAATGCCATATTCTGAAGGTCTCTGAAAGATTTGAAGAATACCTATCTAACTGAAATATATCTCTATATATCTAGAAAACCTAACTAACAAACTTGACTATTATAGATGACTCTCTATTAACCTATATTTCTTTTTTAAAAAGATTTATTTATTATGTATACAGAGTTCTGCCTGTATTTATCCATGCAGGCCATATCTCATTATAGATGATTGTGAGCCACCATGTGGGTGCTGGGAATTGAACTCAGATCCTTTGGAAGAGCAGCCAGTGCTCTTAACCACTGAGCCATTTCTCTAGCCCTAACCAATATTTCTTAATTATATATTACACTTTTAAATGAGCTGCACAAACACAATAACTTAATCAAGAGTAAAAATATACATATAACAAAATTGACCTTAAATTTGTATCACTAAACCAAGATCCATACCAATACAAATTTCTATATCATATTCCCCTTTAAATGTAAACAAACATTTATAGACAATATTTGGGAATATGGGCATAGTTCTGTCCAAACTTTTTCATGTGTTTATTGGGAGAAGTAATTTATTGAGGGGTGTTCAAGGCAAACATTCAGGAGGTCTTGGTCCATCAAGCCATGTCAGTCTGAAAAGATTCCACAGGTTCTCATCCTCTGTGAAAACAAAAGAAGAATCTCTTTTCCAAAGCAACATATCCTTAGACCCAAATTCTGAAGTCAAGATACCTTTATAATATCTATGCTGGTTTAGCTTAGTGGCCCATCCAATGAAATGTCTCTCTGTATATAGCTCCTTCACAGTCAAAAAATTAAAAAAAAACCATAATATACCTAATCCAGACTGTGAGTTTTCCATTTTTACATGGTTTATTCTTTTTTACTTCTTTTAATCTATTACTATCTGTACTCTGTTTCTTTGAAGACTTTATTTTTTAAAAACCATTTACTTCTTTTTACAACTCTCTATACTCTTTTTATTTCTCTCTTCCAAGCCT